CAAATTTGCTTGTTATGGCAATGCTCACATTGGCTTAATATGGAATGGAATGGATTAATGGCTGGTTGTGCCACAAAATAAATAAAAACCAGTTTAACAACTCCTAAGCACTTAAGCATACTGTGGTTTTTGTTAACAAGTTTATCAGTGAAAAGACAACAGGTATTCTCAGAGTAGAACAGACGTGCCTTCCAATCAAAGACAGTCCCCCTTCCCTCCACGGAAAGACAGACAAATGTTTTCATTGCCTATTCAGCAGCTATTCGTAGGGAAGTGCAGTGACGTCACCGCACAGACGGGCACCTCCAATGTCAAGCGTAAGTGTTAAATATATTTAGCTGAAAAGCTGTACAACGCAAGAAATACTGCCTCCCCCTCCAAAACCCCCTTTTTTTTTTGCTTACAGTAGTACTTCTCGCGTTAAGCGACCATAGTATGGAGACTAAGACCTTTTACGTCTTACCTTTTAGCACCCAAACAAACGCAAACATGTTTTTAATAAAATGCTTTTATTTATTCATAATCTAACCACCTAACTTCGGGAATGTGAGTTATGTGAGTCAGATTAAGAATGAATAAAAGTATTTTATTAAAAACGCGTTTGCGTTCATCTGGGTGCTGTCAAAGTAAAAAACAATTACTTTTTGACAATGAAAAACTGTATGAGTGTCTCTCTCTCTGCTGGTGAGCGGGCGCGGTGGGGTGCTGTACCAGCTGTACAGAAAATTAAAGTGCCCTTTTCCATTCAACGGGTGTCTGAGTCAATGTGTCCTATCTTCTGACAGTCGCTGTTGTGAATGTCTGTAGAGTGTATCTTATTTTTAGCATTACATTTTTATATTATATTCCCTATTAATCAAATTCTAAAAGTATGCTTTTAAATGCGCAGTGACATGGTCTTAAGGAGCAAGGGGCACGTAAAACGTTTCCGAAATAACGACATGTAAGACATGTAAGAAATGTTTAGGGAGAAATGGAATACTGGTGTGTATTTTTTCTTTGAAATACAGTACCAAGACCAGCCATACATGCCTTTATATAGCGTCTTTAAAGGTGGCTTCTCAAAGCACTTTACGGGATAAAAACAACAGAGCTGTTAAACCGGTTTTTATCTATTTTTCGGCACAGCCAGCCGGCTTAGAGTGGTATTAAATGCAACTTTTTTGTATAGATGACTTTGCCTATAGCTTTTTCACGAAACCTCACTGAAAACTATCAGTGAGCTAATTCTCTTTTTTTAAACCTCCGGTTTTTCACTGATGCATACAGTGTACGTATACAGTACTACTGTTTGTGTCACAGTACATGAATATAATTATATCGTTATTAATTTCTTTAGATACACCATTCCATATTATATTCCCTATTAATCAAATTCTAAAAGTATGCTTGTTTACTCCGGTATCGAGCGTATTCGCAGAAAAGCTTAAAACTACCACTTTTTATACACGTTATTTCACATGTTAGTTAAAGACTTTGATGCTTAAAATGTTAAGGGAGAAATGGAATACTGGTCTGTATTTTTTCTTTAAAGTACCAAGACCAGCCATAGTTTACATAATACTGTATGTTTTTTCCAAAATTAATATCGTTTATGGCTTTCACACGCGTTATGCTCCTATTCTTTTTATGCTCAGCTACTAAAATTTCCCTTCAGTGGTAAAATTACATATAAATATTCAATACTAAAACGTGCACAATAAGGCGCTATATTAAAATATTTTTTTTCATTTCCAAAGATGGTTACAAAGAATGTGGACCAGGGCAATATTTTGAGTTTACAGCTTGTCCAAGGTTATTCATTATTAATACTATTCGTAATATCTTCGGTAAAGACTTTGATGGCGACAGCTCAAACATGAGAGGTTGAGCTTTATTGGCTCCACCTTGCGGAAATTCCGGATACTATTATTTTACTTGCGGTACCATGTGGTATAATGCGAGAATATACGGTAACTTGAGTTACACCATGACATGCGCACCGCATAATAACGAGGTATCGCCCGCTTGTTTTGAATGGCTGCATTTGTATATGTATTTATAGCAGATTCTTAATTCTCTGGAAAAATATATTCTCTGATATAAATTTCAAATCAGGTCTGTTTACATACAAGATAAAGCTTTTTCCTAGTAAATTACAGAAGTATTTGGCAATAACAGAAGGGTTTAATTTTACTTTTTTATAACATTGAGGACATTTCTCAATTCAATCAAAGTGGGATCTGCCGAAAATGATCTAAATGTTGTTTCTTATTCACACTGCTGAGGGTTAGTAGTGTCATTATTCCAATTCACATTTAATGTCCTAATGCTCCTGAGAACCTTGTACCATGTTCAAGATTTGCATTAGAGTCATTCAGAGCTCTAGATGCAGTCTGCCCTCTAGTGGTCTATAACAAAAGAGACTGCATGGCCTACTACAGATTTGTGTCTTCCTAAGATTTTGTAAGGTATAGTGTTGTGGAAATCTTACATCCCAAATGTAAAAATCATAAATCTACAACTTCTTTATACTTTAACCTTTAAATTGTTACATTTTAAGTAGTTTTACTGTAAACTACATACAATTAACAATACAAACAGACCACAAATCGAGCATTATTTATGTATTTAAATACCCTTAAATTTGTATCGGAGTGAATTAACCTTTATTGCACCTAAGGGAATTTGTCTTGCACATCAAGAGCTCATAGACATATAAAGTATATAACAATACAACAGTACCATATCAAACTACAAAAAAACATTTAAACAACATTGCTCAATTAGAACTCAGTACTGCACGATTTAAATAAACAGCTTGTAAAGATCCTAAAAACAAGAATAGCCATAATAAGATCCCTACTTTCATTTTTTTCATTGTTCAACAAGTGAATACTTTTAGGTATAAAGGAAGTAGCTGCTCTCTTAGCCTTTGTACAAGGGATCTAGTACCTCCTCACACGGGGTATGAGAGAATATAAAAAAAGTGAATGAGAGGGATCATCTAAGATTTTATGTGCAAGATTAATGTTTCTCCATCAGACATGTTATTGAGTCCAAGAATGTGCCAGCAATCTTGCCACCGGACTTGATCATTTTGTTCAACTTATTATTGTCATGTAAGGACAAGAAACCTCTCCAGATCTGAATACAAATTGTAAGAATACTCTGATTAAAAAAAAGTGTCAACATTGTGCTTTCTACACTAAAACTCCTAAACTTCCTTTGCTGCATCTTCAAATGCTGTACCTTGCTTCTGTATTGGCAGTCCAAGTCAATTTACAATCAATAATAGTGCCAAGGTATTTATGTATATTAATTTACTCTGTTCCATCAAAAGTTATAGGCATCATAAGCATAGAACATTTCTTTCTAAAATCAATTGTCATTTTCTTTGTTCGCTTGTGTTTAAAAACAGTAAATTATCCAGAGAAAAAAATATATATTTCTGCTGTCTGTAACTGTTTTTATCAGCATTCGAAAGTCCAGCTGACGCAACATCATCTACAAACTTAATAATCAAACAGTTATGTGAGCTCCCTATAGATGTCCTTAGGTATTCCTTTTGTTTTCCCTGTAGAAGAGGCTCTGTCTTCTTCCCTATGGGATCCCTGAAGGAGTCTTAATATGCATTATATTTATAGGCATCTGTGAGGAATTTTCACCCTAGATTTGTCTATGCACATGTTAGTTCAGGGGAATCCCACAACCACAATGTCTCTTGGGGTCATATATTATATTTTGACAGAAGATCTGTTTCTATGTGGAATGCAGTCTCTGTTTAGTCACACTGCATTTTTGAAAGTCTAAATGAGAAAAAGATTTCAGTTGGCATTTCTATTTAATTTCTAATGAGAATTACTATGAGAGGCCAAATGTACATTTAGTTACCAATGGATCAAAGATATTGATTTTCACCATGCTGTGTAACTTATTTGTGCTTCTCCAGTTTTTTGTAAAATTTCACTTTTGTAATTTGAGACTTATTTGTTATCAGGACTTGCTTTTGATAGTTTAATGTAATATTTGTTTTTAAAAAGATTCCTGGAGCCAGGTTTCAGAGACTTAATTAAATGTTGTTGATTTATCACCATTGACATTTATTGTAACAAAGCATCAATCAAGAAAACAGACTCATAATGGAGGTTTGTCATCATAAATCATCACTATGCTTCAATTCATTAGAATGATTTATAAAATGAATGTAAAATCAGTACACTAAGAGAAAAAGTTTATTTTTTACAGCTAAGACGCACCAGTTCTATATTTTCCAGGGAGCAGACGTCTTACATCAAGTGTTAGGGTTGGAAAACAGAGTACTGATATTGGTATTATTCAGCTTCAGTCTTTTTTCCTTTCTAAGCAAAATGAATAGTACTATTACATATGCATAAATAAAAAATAACAGTCATATTGACATTAATTTTTCCAAATATGTCTTTACACTCTCCTCTAATTAATGAGAAATGCATCTGTTAATTAGATTTGGGAAAGGCATTAATTCATTTATGAAAAGGAAATAATTCAAACTTCTAAATCACTTTGTTTCAAATAATCCTAAAATTTCTTATATCAGTTTCTTTACTGGTTTGTACCTCATTTTGCAGTTTGTGCATTAAAGAACAAACATCTCTATTAAGCAGAATTAAGTAATGCATTTACAGCATACTATGCAAAAAATTGTTTTTTTTAGTGTATTATATTATTCATAACATTAACTGAGGTTCATTTCCAACTGATAAGGAAACATTTTCTCAAGATTCTGCTTCAAAACATAATGCATATACATTACTGAATTTTAGTTTTGTGAAGAGGTGATGCAGCATGGGAAATACAATATGTTCAATATGTACTGTATTTGTGACAAATTGTATTTTAAAATTCACATTTAACAACTGCACTAAATTCTGTATTAAATGGGGAACCTTCTGAAGAACCTTCCAATGCTGAAAGATGAAACTATAAGTAAGGTTTATGAATTACAAACGAACTACATCATCTACTACTCGTAGTCTTACCGTCAGGGTTGGCAGAGATGAAGACTCGGACACTCCTGCCAGTCGGTATATGGTGAGGAGAGACAGCAAGGACATTCCCACCGAGGGCCGCTCTGCGGAGTGCAGAGTCCCGGGGACAGGGCAACCTGCTACCCACTCCTGTTGGCCACATGAGCGGCGATTTCCAGTGCAAATCTAGACATACAGAAATGTATATAGTCTACAGAAATAACAGTCGATTGTGTATATTTTAAAAGCTTCAGTTAAAGCACCCCATGAGTTTCTTACCAGCGATATGTTAATTCAAAGTCACGGTTTTGCGAGTATTTGCATCGGATTGCCTTGATACATAATACTTCGTTGGAAAAAAAAGGCGAAATTCTCCCTTTGGCTGTGAAACTGAATTAATCGGAGAAAATCGTAACGAAATTGACTGCACATTTGATGCCATCCAGACAAAGACTGACAACGACTGTTTCAAATCTCGATGAAAGCAGATGCAGTTAAGTACGCGACGTCCCTGAATCGCATTTTCTAGTGTAGATATATCCTGAGGTAATGGTTACCAAACATCAGGAAACAAAACAAGCAGCATCTACTCAAACGCCCCCTTGGCAATAACAGGCTGGAAAACATAAGAGCGGATACGCCTCGCAGTGTCTATAGGCGTTTGCAGACAATTGTTCTCATATAAACCTTGTTCACGGTAATCTGAGCGTTGTCATTTCAGATAAAATCAAAGATCTCATAAACGTAGTAAAGAAATAAACAAGAATAATATGAATTAAAATGAATGAAAGCACTAAGGAACGCACCCCTCCGCAGATTTAATGAAATAATGTTATCTTGCGACCGGCAGCGGAACCAACCTCTCCTGTGGAAAAGAAATCCTGACTGATAGCTCTGAAACCTTTCTTGGTGGTAGAATACTGCAGGTCTTATAGCATATCCTGAGTCATGAAGATTTCAGTGGACCGGGTTCAGAAAGTGACGCTACTGTCCATTTCGCTGCAAACCACACAGGGTTTTCTACCACTTGGGAGAGTTTTCAAAAACTGCAGGAAAAATGCGACTGGACCAATTTTCACGGGAAAATGGGAAACCGATTTAAATTAATACATTAATCTCAAAAGCATCGCTGGAAACGTTACACCTGTAAAATATACTCTTAATCCGCATAAAACATATTATCTTTGGTTGTACATAAATCAAAACAGTTTTTATTGGGGTAGAAAGTCTAGAAAGCTAAAACACAGCTAAAATACACGATTTTTTTTTCAAGAATCAAATTTCAAACCAAATAGTTAAGACCCAACTGAGTGATAAATAATAAATACATTTTAGGATAAATGTGCTAAACAAATTAAGTTAAACAAATTAAAATAAAACAACATAACGCATAGCTTTATACATATGAAGTACAAAAAACAGGCAGGAGGCCATTGCATAAAAACACTTTTCTCATCCCCGATGGTAAAAGCACGAGAAGATCCTAAATACAGAATTAGTCAATTGATAATGTCACACACTGTTTATGTTTAATATAAAAATCAATAAAGAATATGCGTAACTTACGGATGTGCCGTTTCAAGATGCAATTTGAGCATTGTGCCACGAGCTAATCAGTATAAATGCTTTAAGCTGCTTTAGCGCCACATGTGCACCCAGCAGGTACTCGGCGTGTTAAAGGAAGCTGGCATTCACGGGGGATGTATTACCTGGGGATCTAACCTTTATTTTATGAGTTAAATATACACTATTAATCTTTGTATTCATATATTATCAAATTAAATGTGAAGACTACTTGTCAAGAACCTAACAACATGTTATATTTTTTAATTAAAAAACGCTTTCAAGAGTTTACTTCCTTGGTGCTATCTAGAAAAAGAAATTGATAAAAGTAATTTTTCCATGGAATTATTACATTCATAGTGCTATAGAGACACAGAAAAGATGAAGGAAGGGTGGGTACAACACTATGCATCAAAAAGAGCATTCAGGAACATACACATAACCAAAATTAATCAAAGGTCTGAGGATTTATACCAGTTAGATTTATAACCCATATAAATGGGTCAAAAGGATAGTGCTAGGAATGGAGAATATTAAACACCACCACATTCAGAATTTAATCATGATTATACATTGTAAAAAGTATTTCTATATATATAAAGGGAAAGACAAATGTGCATATTAGAAATGTCATTGGACAGAAAAGAAAACTGAATGGAGGCTAAAATAAGTTTTTTTTTTATCTGATGTGAATAAAAGCACTGGCTTTGTACCTTAAGGCTAAATTTGTGTCTGTTTTCCTGAATGCCACCCACCTGTCTCATTATGGCACACCAACCCCAGGGTGTTACACAAAGAAGAGCCTGGCTCAGGCTGAAGAAGGGCAAAATCATATATGTTCAGGTGGGTAGCTGCGTCAGCATGCGTAGGCTGCAAAGGAACAAGTTATAGTTTTATTCCATGCCGAAAAGAAAAGAAAGAAAACAACATTTCGGCCGTGAAGGTATATTGTATATATTGTAACGTGATGGGTTTGGCGAGGATAGAGACAGGAACTCAGGCTCTTGTTAAATGAGTTAAATGAGAACACAGCGCTTTATTAATCAGACATGCGTCCGGTTCAGCAATCACGAGTGAGGGAGAGAAAGACGCAGTCTACGTCACACTGGCGTCAATTCGGGTACAGTTACATGGATGGGGTGGTAATTGGGTACATGTATAAAAGGGGTGCAAAACCAGCAAAACTATTTACATGAGTTTGGGCGATCTCGCGACTGTGTACACCGGTTCCACAATTGGTTAGCGCACTGGCCAGTGGCTCTCCTAGTCCCCGCCCTGGCCACTACTACTCCTGTCTTGCCCCTCGTCGTGCACCCCAGCCAGGCCCTCTTCGGCCGCAATGCCAAGCGAGGGCGCTACAATATCAAGTAGTATTAGCATGGACGAGGCATGAATGCTACAGGTATTAGAAATACATATGATGAATAAATTACCTTATTCTACCGCATATACTTAAGGAAGCAAGAAGTTATTCAAATGCCATTAACAAAACCCCCTCACAGCTGTTCAAGAGACAGGGGCAGTACCTACTAACACAAGCAACGAAACCCAGCACATTCATCAGTGCTCTGTTAGTGGCAGTTTGTGCCATTGAAAGCAGGTTCCGAGCTGCTTTTGTTCCCAACATATAGACCCTTATTTGTCAGGTAATCACATGACTTTAACATTAGTAACACACTCTGGATAGTTAATGAATAACAACGTCTGCAATTTGGTTTCTCAGTCTGTCCTTTGGTGGATGTTTTTCATTTGAATAACAATATTTTGGGGGGAATTTGTGTTAATAGTAAAATTAAATTGGCCTCAAATATAATATCAAATGTAACCACAATTGTTGCCATTTTATCCTTAATGCAACTGTTTTATAATGTTACTTAAATTTTTTTAACAAAAGATTTAATTGACGTGTCATAAACCAGGTTCTGAAGGGCCAGTGGATAGCTTTACATTGAAGTGAGGTCTTAATGACCTAAACAAGCCTATTACTGCCTTAATTGGACCAAATTAATCAGCATTTTTCCAGCTCTACAGTTACAGGTGCTTTAAAAAAACCTTCAGGCACAGTGTCCTAGGAAACAAAATGACTAAACAAGTGGATAGAATAGCAGTGTTACACAGATTTAAACACATGTTTCTTCATTGCCACAATGATGTGGTTCCCTTTTTTAAACTCATTTGTTTTTCAAGTAATCTGTTTTCTTTTAACAAGTTATTCTAAGCTGTGCAGTTGATGAGCATGTAATATAACACTCTAAGGAAAGACAATATTAGACATTAGAAAGATCTTTTTGTAGAAAACTGAAGGCAATATAAGCAAAAGGATGTGAAAAAGAAGCATCTACCAGATGTGAAGCTTATCACTGAAGGAGTGACACAATAACTAGAAATAAATATCAAACTATATTATTTTAAGTACTCATAAGATCACTGTGTTCTTTTTATTGTAGAAGGCTAGCATTTTCTAATTAGTGATATAACTACAGCTTACAATGGAAACCCATTTAACATGCAGATTCCATAATGAAATTATGGTATGAAGAGGGAGCAGTTATATTTTGTTTTTTAATTACATTTTTAATTAACTTTAATATCTGAAGTGAAATTAACTATTCAATATATTTGAAACTTTTTAAATTAAATAGAAAACATTGATGGTCAAAAACAGCTTTACAAATAAAATGCATATGCATTACACATAACTTATTGGTTCCAATACTGATGTTGTATTTTAGTACTTTTCAGTATATATATTTGTGTATATTATTCTTTTATATTGCTTCTAAATCTAGCTGGAGATTGTATGGTAAAGGTTAATTTAAAAAGGTTAATGGAGCATTAGTTACTGTATTCTACATGACTACTGTTATTGGAGCTGGAGGAGACGGATTTTGTCATGTTCTGCTTATTTTTTCAGAGAACAAATGAACCAAAATAACATTCTTTATGAAAAAGCATCCCATTAAGACAGCTTTCATTATGTACAATTGTAAGAGCTGCACTGACATAAACTGTATTGATTTTGGACATCACACAAAGATATTGATATTCTAGTGCTATTTGTATCAGTATGTTATCCCCAGAAACTCTGTTGCATATACATTAGATAATCACTGTCTTTCAGGCTTACAAAAAACAGATTCTCAGCTCTCCATTTGACATCTTTCTCAGTGATCTTTCAGACATACAGGAGAAAGGCAAGACTGGTGAGCTACTTAAGTGAGTGCCCACTCAGCAGCTTCCTAACCCCATCTGTTTTCCTGCTTTTCTTTTCATCTTTCCAATTATCACTTCTAAAGCACTAGGGTTTGCAGTGTTACTTTTCTGGTTTAGGTGTTAAATGGACATTGGAGTGCTTGCAAAAGAAGAGGTTTAAACATGATTTTTTAATTGTTTTAACCATAGAAACTATTCACTTTGAAAATATACAATGTTAAGATGTCATAGTCCTTAAATGATTCTTGCAAATAACACAATATATGATAATGAGAAAAATAAACATAATGAAATAAACAACAATAATAAAACTAAGCATGCCAACAACTTGGAAACGATTGACAAAATGGCAACACAACCAGTTGTTAAGTAATGAGTGAGACATTATTTTTTGGCATTGTAATCTAATCAGGTTTTTAAAATTAAGTTTTAAAATAAATTATATGTTACCTCATCTGATAATGTAATCTCCAAATTTACTGTTGTCTACAAGCCTTGAAAGATAGTAATTTTATTACAAAAGTCGAGGAGGGTGTTGTGAAAGGCTGCCAGCCTGTGTACCTTTAAGAAGTGTTAGTTTGATGAGCTACATCTCTGGTTGCTGCTACTTAAATGGCCTGTCTTAGAAGAATGGTCTGATCTGCCGATGTGGTGTGTTTGTTCACCAGGGACGTGGCAGGAGCAGGACAGATGGTGTAGCTAGTCCTGATATTACTGAGAAGCAAAAAAAAAAGGGTGTGTGTGAGGCCGTAGTGTCTGTGAATGCTACAGATGTGGAAATTAATATGGCTAGACTTATAGACTTGGTGTACAGCAGAGGTTGTTGGTTGCAATCACCTACGATGTGGCAGGGCTGGACAGCAATGGGCTGTAAGCTGCTGAAACCCATGTGTGTTTGAGTACTGGGAATCACCAGTGAGGAGGCATGGCCTGTTTTGGCCTGATTATGGTTTTTGAAAGAAAGGGGGCAGCTGTGGTGGTGGCTGGGCTGTGAGAACTGCCCACTGGAAT